CTCTTTGACATTAGCAAGCCTTTCACCAAATTGTAATTTTAGCGAATTCCCGATATATTATCACATTCATCAGTAGTAATGGACTATATCCATCAAGAGGACAATGGTAGGGGATACAACGAGGTAAATTATTGAAACAGAGATAGTTCGTCATGTCTCATGCAAACATGGAGGAATATCTTCTTGTTGGGTTCTTGAAAAGCAGAACATGACAAAAGTTTGCAAATAACCAGTTCCAAATGAAAACAGCGTACTGCGAAGGAAAAATGTATATATATTCAAAATGGAAAATGTTCAATGTCTTGGCCATGAATCATGAATCAGACTACTTGCCAGAGAAATATGTCAACTGAATCTATGGGTAAATTGTAAACAAAGTGTCATAGTGTCTTTGAGAGAATTGCTGAAACTTGGAAAATACGTGAATGTGAATAAATACTGGATACGGCGTCAGGAAAAAACTTTCAAAAATCCAAAGTGCGCCCTCATTGGTATATAATTCATGGGACTTATTTAACTGTGAAAAGAGATATCCCTACCGAAAAAAATTTTGGTCTTGTATGGAGTGTTAATCACACCGTATTCGCATCGAAATTGAAACAATGTGCAAGAATCGAACGATGTGAACTTTTGGAAGCCGTCGTTTCGCCAGTACGGGTGGCTAACTTCTTTAGAGGTTTATTCAGAAGAAGATAGTAATACTGAAAAAATCGACCGCGAAAGCCCCAACCAATTTTTTGCTGAGAACATTTTGATGAGGAAAAAATGTACTCGAAGAATTGTAACGAACAATTATTGATACGGTTCATGAAGGATACCCAGGCACTGCAGACATGAAAAATCGTTTACGTGCTGAAGTATCGGGCTCCAAAATAGATGAGGATAGAGAATACTTGGTGAAATATTGCAACTCTCATGAATCCCACAACCACAAAATACCACAACTTTCCGTAATTCTTGGGTGAACGTGGCACTCAATATTATACTTATTTCACCAAGAGAACAAACTCAATAATTCCATTATTTTGACTACTTTGGCCGTTACAAAGAAATGAAAATTATAATCAATTTCACAAAAATGAATACGTTCGAAGTGCTACAGGAATATTTCAGATAAACGGGGAAGTCGAGAGAAAAAATAAGGATTTCCTGAAAATACTGAAAATTAGTCAATCTCTGAAAAGAAAAACTGGCAAGATAATCCACTAGACTACTCAGTAACGTATCATAGCACGCCGCCCTATTCCCTAACTGCAACTGCATGACACCAAAAATACTATTTTTGATGTGGAAGTGAAATATACGGGTGGAGAGAAGACGGTATCTCGCATATGATATGCGAATGAGAAGATAAAAGAAGGAGAATAAATCGTCATCGACTACATTGATCATTAGTCTCGTGTCCTGGAAATGTTAATAACTCCCTGAGCCACCTAGGAAGGATCATAGCTATTCGTAGTATGTCAGCCATGTAACGTTTCAGAATCATCCCACCTTCAACTAGATACATTCTCTCGAGAAAAATATATGGTTGAGCTTGGGATCCAACTCACAACCTTCCGATCGTGAGAACATCGTGAGAAACTGGACGGTTGTGAAGAAACTGAATATATCTGTTTCGAAATGAATAGGAGCTTTCAAATTTTCCTTCTCTCTATACTGAGTCGATATTAGGATGCTTTCAAAGTTTTGTCCATTTTATTGTCATGTGTTTTTGTTGTGCCGTATCTCAATGGTATATCCTGATTGATAGAGAATTTTGTACTGTATGGATTGATGCTGTTTATTTTTTTTTAGTTTTAATTTTTCATCTGTTTTTAGCTTGTTACTACTATATTATGTCTTTGAGCGATTTTTGGCCAATTTTACTCAACGAATTCAAATTAAACCAAAGCGCTGCCGAAATGGCCCAAAAAATGAACTAGGTAATTGGAAATTATAGTGTTAATTGACGCATTATTCGACATTGGTTTACAAAATTTCGATTCGGAAATTTTAGCTTCGAAGATGCGCTCCGAAGTGCTCGACCTACAGTTATCCAGAACGAGGATTTGAAGACTCTGGTGGGGACTGACCAATTACAAACGTTCCGTGGGATGTCGGAAGAAATAGGCGTCAGCGGTTTTTGATAGTTTGAAACGTAGTGGAAAGGTCATAAAGATCGAAACGTGGGTGCCTCACGATTTGAACGATCGACAGAAATTGTCACGTTTCGAGGTCTGTTCTTCTTTGCTTTGCATAACCAAAACGATCCTTTTTTGTATCGGGTCCTCAAGTGTGAATAAAAGTGGATTATCTACGACCACAGGAGACCTTCAGGACAGTGGTTGAACACCAATGAGCCACTAAGGCACTTCCCAAAGGCAAAATGGTCATGGTTACTGTATGGTGATCAATGGTTGGCATGATTGACTATATTTTTCTGTAACAGGGTCAAACCATAACAGCAGAGTCTTATTGTGAGAAAATCGACGAAATGTACCGACAATGCCCGTCCGCATGTTTCACAAATCACCGTCTGAAAATCAAACTTATTGAGCATAGAAGTTCTGCCCCACCCACCATATGCCCAGACCGCTCGCCAACCATCAACTACCATCTTTTCAAGCATTTCGATAACTTTCCCACCGATAGAACCTTCGCAAATTAGGACCAGGAAAAAACACGGCCTTCGTCAACTTCATCGATTCTCCAGCACACAGTTTTTATGCTGACAGAATTATTCGACTTGTATTACGTTAACAAAAGTGCACTGATTCGCTTATTCGATTGATTGATGTATTCACTGAGATATTACAGTTAGGATCAGATTACTGAAAAATGGTGAGATTATGTGTGGCGAAATATTGGGATAAAGATTGCATACGCGTTTTATGAGATTGAATAAATCTCAGTTTCCTTGGTCAAGTATGACATTCGTTGTAGAGTAGCAAATGAGAGATGTGATGAGTAATATTCAGGGTTTTAATTCTTTGTTACAATCAATATGGAGTGAGATAGAGAACGTATAACATAGTCGAATACTCCACCTTCGTAATGAACCTGGTTATGTTTTCTCCGGTTATTTTGTCAAAGTGTATTAGACAAAGAAATAGGAAATAATCATATTCCATAAGAACCTTTGATAAACAATTCGCTATCTGAAGAATGCACGTTACCAGACTCTCGGCAGTGGAATGACGACATGAGTTCTTCCAACGATATTCAATGCGTAGTCTACTGATGGTTTTCAATATATTTCAAATGGCTCAAAAAGTGCATTCACCTCTGACTGCGCGTTAGACATCGCCGAATAAACAGACACACGTTGCTGACTCAAGTATCGAAATATTATGAAATAGCTACTTAAGAAATACCATTCGACAAAAACATCAGTAATTTAACCGAATATCGTTGATGAACGATATTGCTACGCATTTCGGTCCAGAAAGACTTGATTAAATTAAATATCGACTTTTTATGAAGACAAAGCTTAGATATTAAATTCATATTGAGGAATAACTTCACATACGGTTTTGAAATTTCAGAAAGAAATTATGAAAAGACCGTTCAAAGAAATCATAAATAATTTCAATGGAACTCTCTGTCTTAGAAGGTCGCAATATTAATCACTATATCATGTTCCTCGTTTTCAATAGAATTCTTGAAATCGGTAGTCTTTGAGTTGATCAGTTACAAATAGGCAAACGCACCAAAATTCAAATATTTCCACTTTATATAAATTGAAATGGGTATTTGTTTAGAAGAGGTTACTTTTTTGAAAAGTAAGGTTTTATTTCCCCATCTTGATACAAAAAATATGGAATTTTTCAAAGAAAGGAAGGAGGTAATCAATTTCAAAAAAGTAATTTTATACAAAGATGTGTAGATCATGCAAAGAAATTTTCAGACACAAACTGGAAAAAAAAGTCTTGCCGAAACAGCCACTTTCATACTCGTATAAACATTGAATTACACGAAAGAAAAATACTTTCGAAACAATTACTGTTATATGTACACTGAATTATTCAAACAACAATTTTCTCTATTCAGTTTCTAGGTATTCCACACATTCGTTATAGAATGAAATCAGATATTATTCACAGGATTCCTACACATGAAGAGGTGAAATTTCATTTACACGGAACACTGGCATCCCTACTAGAAGACATCCGATGTTTTGCCGTAAGACACTCGACTTATCAGCTCTTCAGTAACAAATATGGATAATAATATTAATGTCGATATTGAATTGACTTCTTATTCGATTCAACAAATACTTTTATAATTCTGACATTCAGCTGAACGATTAGACTAGTACATCGTTTCAGTGGTGTAGGCACATATGATTTCATAAAGAAATTTAAAGCCGTTTCGTCTGGATTCTATGCCAGTTTCTTCGATTTCTTAAGGGTACAGCCAGTTATTCGAATATCTAATTGATAAGTTGAAAATTTCAGCTATATCGTTGTGTTAACAGCGATGATATTTCGTTTCACAAAGACGCCATCTGTGGGATCAAATAAGACTCAAACTACGAATATCAAAGATGAACGAGGCTTCTCAAGTCGGAACGAAGCAAAGCCGAGCTTCGACATCGACCATCGTACGAGATGTCTCCTCTTGTTTTTCACTGCAAAGCAATTGGAGCCCAAAGTATAATTCCATCGATGGCCTAAGATATTAGAAAAAGTTATATGGCCCAGATATCGAGGTCATTTATAACAGATGATTTGGTTCAGAATAACCAAATCTTAAAAGAAAGTTTTTTCAAAAAATATAAAAAGAAATAAAAGACACGATACAGATTGAGATTTTGTATGATAAGAACTGATTACGAAAAACCAGATTAACGATAACTGCACAACTAATTATTGAGAGAATTAAATGTAAGTTCAGAGAAGTGAATCGTTTACGAGTGGAGAATGGTATAGATGTGCTATTTGATATTTTTCGCTTTTGAGATAATACCAACATTATTGTTGAATAAAAAGTAGAGGTTCTTCTAATAAATAGCAAAATTATATATTCAGTTTTTATTGATAACTGATTTTTTGTACAATTCAAAGAGTCATTCAATAAGAGAAACAGTATTCACTGTTCCGAATAAATCAATAAAATAAACTCATATCATTGAACAGAAGAGTTTGATTATTTTGCTTAAATAAGGTATGCTTGAGCCAAAGCTAGAACTGGAGATCCAGTAGCAGGAGCGGGAAGACTACCGCTTGAGGCCGCAATATCCAGATGACTGTATTTCAATGGTTTGTCACTTTCAGAGCCATGCTTATCCAAACCGGAAGCCATGATCAAGAAAGCTGCGGGACCTGAAATATAAACAAATATTCACAGTTACCTTCATTCCACTCTGCTTATTAGGTATTTTGAGAGTTATCATAGTCATTCATGAATATATTAAAATTTTAATGAACACAGAATTCATTTTTCCAGATCAGAAACATATCGAGTGATACAATTTGTGAATGAATAAGGTAAGGTAAGGTAAATAAGGAAAGGTAAATATCAAGTCAAGGCGGTCGGTAACCAGACAGTTCGACGTGGGTGCTTTGTTCACTCACTCGAATTGACTGCCGTGTTGATCGGTGGTTCAAGCCCTTGTCTGAATGATTTTCACCTTCGTTTCACGCTCGCACAAGTTTGACTACTGAGAGTTGTGGTTCGTAGGTGTGCGACAGCTGGTTAACGGAAAAACAGATTTTGAACAGATTTTAAATATCAAGTGTGTATACATTTCAAATCTTCAAGTCTTTTTTCCTTGAAAATGAAAACTCTGAGAGGAAAAGATGATGACATCTCTCTTTATGAAGATGACATCTGTTCCTTAGGAAAGATGACCTTAGGAAAGATGACCATCTATTCCATAGGAAAGATGACATCTGTTTCTTAGGAAAGATGTCATCGCCTTTCTCTATTAATAATTATGCCAGACAAGAACTGCATCACATCCAAATTAAAATGAAGTTTCTGTATAGAATGTTTCTGTCTTATAATTCTTTACACTTCTGTGAAAATGAACGTGGAAAACTATTCTCGAAAAATAAAAAAGAAGTATATTTTCGATTTTCTTTCAACACAGTCGATATATAGATAGATTTCTCGAGAAAAAATATAACTTTACGAAACTCTAGCCAATATTCTACTTTCAACGGCAAGCTGGCAAAATGATACAATCTTTCATTCCCTAAAGAATAGTGACGTCATGATATGGACTAGCCAACGAAAAGAGAACATTGACTACATCAAATAAAGAAGATAAAGATTTTTTGGAAAAGAAAGTTTTTGGCTTTCTACTACTCCATCTGATACAAAAAAAGGGATGAGAGAATCTTCCAAAGAAAGGAAGGAAGTAATCAATTTGAAACTCTATACATGAATGTGTAGATCATGCAAAGAAGTAACTTTCAGACACAAACTGAAAGATAAAAAATTAATCACTCCTAAAAATATAACCCCTTCAATTCAAGATAAAGATATTCATGGCATTTTTTGCAGTTACGTCTATTTTACACAACGCCAGTTACGTCACGATGTTTTACGTGTTGCATATTTCCTTCGTGAATATTTTGGGATTTGATTCGTTTCATGGTGCTGTGACAGAGTGGCTAAGACACCGGTGGAATATTAGTAGAAGTGATGTCACGGTCAGTCTATATCATCATGTCTATGCTAAAGAATCATGTTTTTTTCTGGATTTTTGATATATTTGGGGGGTCATCAATAATAAATAACCAATCGTTACACTTCGAGGTGATATATCATTGCGGTAGAGAATCGTGCGTTCACTATGCGTTGAAGAATACATACAGCAACTCAATGACGATCTTGCGAAGTAAAATTTTCGCTGAAAATTCTAAATATTCAACAGAAGAGGAGAAGACAAAGATCTTCGATTCACCATTGAATATGAAGTTTTTTTGGGTAAATAAATAACGAGTCATCCCCAAAGTATGTACCATATTGAAAATTGATTTATTAAGGGTTTTTTAATGAAAAGTTATTTCCGATGAAAATTTGTACATCCTCTGGAACTGAACATGCACCAACAAAATATAGTACACATGTCTCAGAATCAAACTTCGAAAGTTTGATTCTGAGACAAGAGTAAAGTACCTTTTTTTGAAAAATCTCGGGAAATGTTACTTAGAAAAATTAAAATATTCATCTGGATTCAAGAGAAGGTTCATTTATTACCCATTTATTTGAAATGAGGACTACGAAAAAACAATTGCTGAAACGATAAATAGGTTTATTTGGAAAGTCTGCAATTAACAAATTACACAACTATCGTGTTAACCAATCATTATTTTTTTCAAGAGAAAAATTATTTTCCAAGTTTTTTGGGTAACACCAAAAATTGACTATACGGTATTGTAACGAGAACTCAATAATCAATATTATCAAATCAGAAAACATCAAAATGAAATGAGTATTTCAGCACTAATTCATTACATTTATTACGTGTAGATTTTCTTGTCCATAAAAATTATTTTAAGTTCACTTTGAAAACAAACGAATGTTTGACATTAGGTTCTTGACATATTATCGTATTCAAATGACGATAAAAAAAACATTTTTCCTTGTGAAAAATACTTTGAACGCAGTAATTTATTGGGGTGAACTGAGAATGATTGTCTTTCCTACACCTACTTCACATTTATTACAGTATTTGAACTGCATTCACCATCATTCGCTTTTTTGACTTTCGCAAACCAAACCCAATAGAATTTCAGACCACTGATATGTGGCATATTTTGAACAATTACTCACCTTGGTGCCCACGTGATATTTGAACTGATGGTTTTGACAAACTTTGGGTAACATCGTCCCCCTCCATAACACCTTTATAATTCGAAAAGTCTTCCTTCCGAATTCTTGAAATTTCAAAGGGATCACCAATCTTCTCCGACGCTTCTTGCAACTTTTGGTCATTGTTTATCTGCCTTGCAGGGCCATTATCCATGACTAAAAATGAGAAATTATTTTTAAAAAATGGAAAAATAATGAGAGAATCGCTTGAAATATGAGTATAATATTATTTCTGCCACTGAAAACGGGAAAAGAAACGAGTAAATTTTCTAATTGAATGAGGATATAATTGATTAGTCAAGGATTCAAAAAAAATCGTGATAAACAGGGAAAAATTGCAGTCAGCTAAAAATTGAATAGTTATAATTCAAATTACAATAGGAAATTCAAATAACAATAGGAATATATTGAGAAATAAAAGTTTTTCAAATTGTAAATAAGTATATCTGCCACAAAAGCATGAATGAGGAAAGTCCTAATTGCAACAAAGAATGAGTGGTCACTCTAAATCCAAATTGGCGGATCGCCCTTCTGAAATGGGTATCAAATGAAAGGATTTGCTAAAAAGAATACCAAAACTGAAATGACACCACTCTTCATTGAGAAATGAAAGGGTTGAAGGAAAAAATATTTTACATTATATGGCCACCATACTGATTTCAAAGATTGGGAATCGTTCGGTGGTGCTAAATGTTGTATGGACCGACCCTTCGACAATGACGCATTGAAAAAATGAATAAGTCTAGCGATTACTGAAAATAAGAAATCAAATTATAGATGAAAAAATAATTTTTAAAACAAACACTATTTTATTGCTGTGAAGAGAAGAAGATATACTTTAAATAAAATTAAATACATTGATATCTTACGTGACACAATTTATGTAATATTGAAGCAAAATTTTAATGTGTAGATAAACAAAAATACAATATATGTAACTATAAATCTCGTCTATATATCATAAGAATTGTGTAATATAAATGAAAGATTATTTTTGTAAATGCTCCTTTCTTCCCATTATTTTGACAACTAGTAAGACAGATATCACTTCATACACTCATCACGATGTTGGAGCCAAATATTTTTGATGATTCGAATAAACGCATTTCCTATTACACAGTTACAACGGCTTTTTGTGTTACCTTTTGAGTTACCTTTTGTGTTACCTTTTGAGTAACTCTCAACAGAATAAATTCTAATTATCCTCAGACAAACAATTTCAGTTCGGAAATTGTTCAGTTGAACAGTGAGACTTTCGTCTTTTTTCACTTGTTTTTTTTACAACTGTTTGCGATTTTGCCTATTTAGATCGAGCTTATCGATACTATATATAAGTAGTGGTCTCTGGAGAAACAGTGTCATTCATATTCATCAAACGACATTTTTTTTAGAGGACTCAATATTTTATACTATTTTTTTGGGTTAATAACCTTTCACAATCTGAAAAAGATAAAGATAAATCAATAGAATATCTGCTGAAGTGTAGTGAAAGAGCAAACTGAAAAGTTCAGCTCAAAAAGTTACTGTGTAATATAAATTACTGAAAAGTCCAAGTCAGTAACTTGTCATTTTTATGAATTTTGCCTGCAAATTGCATTTCAGTTCATAATATGAAAGGGGAAATAACTATCATTAAAACAGTTTTGGAGCAGAACGCATATCCGGGGCAGTTTATGGAAAGAGCTCAAAATGAAGTTGATAAAATCAATATACAACATACTTATACAGATCCCACAATCACCACAAATGCAACAACAATACACATACCTTACTAACATCATATCTTATGTTCCCGGTTTGTCTGAGAAATCGAGACGCATCGGTTATAAGTATAATGTAAGAACAACTTTTAGAACCACCAACACATTGGGATCTTTTTTGACATAAACTAATCTTGAAAATACGGTTGAAAGAACGAAAGATTGTATTCACAATATACCTTGTTCCTTTGGAAAAAGTTATATAGGTGAAACTTCAAGATATCTAGATGTGAGAAAAAATGATCATCGTGATTATATAAGGAGAAGGCAGATGGCAGCATCGGAGTTTAGCGAAACATTCTGAAATCATCTGATGATCACGCCATAGAATGGAGTGAAACAAATCATCACCAAAGAAACTCATGGAAAAATCAGAAAACTCAAATAAATACGCATATATTCTTTTAACAGGTAACAAGTGTATTTCGAATAGTTTTGTGGAAATCGATCATAGGTATGATTACCATTACTAAGAAGAGAGGTTGAAAACAGAAATATGAACCTCAACTGAACTGAATTATCGAAAAACATCCAGCATGTGTGTTTATATTGACTGTCGCATGTGAAATCTGGACATTCCATTCTTTTTTCTTGTGAAATTGGAAATATAAATTAGATCTTAGGAATCAGAACTAATATAGTTTCAGCCAAGATTTTTATAGTGGATACAGGTTTTCAAAACGGAAAAAGTATTGTTTTCCGAAACGTTAACCACTTAAGAAAGCTAAGTATCAATAATAAATTTTCTCTATTGATTTTTTTCAATTCGTAGGTAAAATTCATGAATACGACAAGTTACTTACTACACTTGCTATCGTCCAACCCGTGTTAGGAATCACACGTTGAAAGGCAAGACCTCGTTAATCCTTAACTCGCGCAAGTTTCGACTTCTGAGGGTTGTCGTACGTAGGGGTGCGACAGCTGGTTAACGTAAAAACATATTTCAAACAGAATTGGACTTTTCAGTAGTTTATATTACGAAGTAACCTTTCCGGGTGAACTTTTCAGTTTGCCCTTTTACTACACTTCAGCAGAACTTCTATTGATTTATCTTTTATTTTTTCAGATTGTGGAAGGTTATGAACCCAATAAGAAAACAGTATAAAAATGTCATTCATGTTCTTTGATTTTCAAAATCTTAATATTCATTGAAACTTATCAATAGAAATATTATGATATTGTGGTTAGACGATTCTGACGAAGGCCTTACAGTGAGCGTTGGGATTGCTACTTTGAAAAGAAAGTCGCCTGTCTCATCAGAAAATCATATTAGCTCATGCAAACTATTGAGATTTTGAAACCTGAACGAGTTGATAGTATGAATATTGGAATTATGAAATAAGGCTATAATTTTGATAAATTCTTCATCTTCCACACATAGTTGATGTTCTAGATGGTTACCGAGTTTTGTCATAGTCTTCTTTGGTTATAATCTCCAAACGTTTCAACTGCAACTGCGGCAGTCATCTTGAGTGGCATGGTCGATGTCAGTTGACACGTCAGTTGATACGTGTCAGTTGACACGTCAAGAAGAGTACTTCGGCAGATGACTGCCGCAGTTACAGTCCAAACGTTTGGAGATTATAACCAAAGAAGACCACGGCAAAACCCAGAAACCAACCAAAACATTGACGCCAGCCGTGAAAGCCTAAATTCCTTCCTATACATAGTTGGAGAGTTCGCAGACGAATCAGGTTCTATGGAATAATTTTAAATGAAATGAAAACCGGTAAAATCGTGAAGTTAATAGATGCACTAAAAATAACGTATTCCAGGTGGGTCAATAGTCAATCCTCTCGAAAAAATTAAAGTTGTGAGGTCCATGGATTAATGTGAGAAATGGAAGCATGGCAATCGGAATTTCTAAAAAATATCATTTAAGTTTTCATGATTCGTTTTCAATACTGAAGTCTGAAACATATTTCGAAACTGGATTGAAACTGTTACTATTTGATTCAGGTATTATTTCTAGTGGACTATTTAAAGATGATAACATATCTGGCAGTCCCGGATACGTTATCTCTTATATTAATTTAATCTGCGTTTTTCTTTGTCACCACAATGAACCGTTACAGAGAACTCAAGATACTTGATATATGCATGTGGCAACAAACCGTTCAATTCCACGTTGATAATAATCTGGGAATGTCGGTAATTTGGATGATAACTATAAAATAATGCCGTGTCGAATACTGCAAGCAGTTATTCAAACGGAAAATGAGGGCACATAGCGGACCAAACCAACTATTTCTTTGAACACGAAGTGCGTTTTTTACAGTTACACGAGTTATTTTAGCATTAAGATGCGAAGGAAGATTCGTGCAACTATTTTTAAACTTACGACTGACCCCTTGGAGAAAGGCTCACCGTTACTCGGCCGTAGAAATGACACCATTTCTTCTCTGCGGTTGAGAATTGGCTCATTTACAACAGCCCAAGATTTCCGTGAACGGATACGAGTGATGTATCTACAGGGTTATTGACGACCAAATTAACGGACCCATATTTTACAATAATAAACCCACACATGAAATCTAAGGATCCGGTTCGAAATTCTAGGTTACCATAACTTTTGATGTAAATCTATTGAGAACACTTTTCCCTCACCAGAACAAAAATCAACAGAAGTTTATTATAATTAGTTTTGATGTGATATCGGTGAATAGTTAGAATCGGAGCTGAAATAAAATGAGTTACTCTGATGAAACTGTGTATTTCAAAAAAAAATTCATTTAAATTGAAAGCGGTATATTTTTTGGAGATATTAATTTTTGAAAAAAAAAAAAAAGCTTTTTAAATTTCACTTCAAACAAGGAAAGCAATGAATTTTAAAATGAAATATTTACATTTGTAGATAATGCATAGAAATCACTATCAGATAATTTAGGAAGTACCTACCAATTGAATAGGAAAAAGTTATTTCCGTATAACTAAATGTTCATATGAAAGCAATTGTTTCGAAAGCAATTTTTTCTGAAGGGTTTTTACTTCCAGTTTGTGTCTGAAAATAATTTCTATGCATAATCCACACATATTTGTTAAGAGTTTATTTTGAACTTAATTGGTTTCCTTCTTCCTTTGAAAGTTTCCCACGGGTATGAAAGTGAAAGTCATTAGCTTTTTTTCTCAAAAAGTATCTATTCTATCTGAAAATTAGTCCAGGTTGAACTTATTTTTTGCATTCGAAACATTCCCGAACCATTTTTGGAAATTGGAAGAGAGTAAATGTGACTACCTACTTGCACGTCGCGTCGCGTCGGGTGATAGCACACATAATGAAAATTTGTATCTTGAAGCTGGGGTCGGCTCGAGGTCAAGAGATCAAAAGATGATGCGATTGTATCAAATTGATATCGCCTTTTATGGTATCATTTTTTTTCTGGAAAATTTTGTGAT